TGGCTTTCCAGATATACAAGATGCTTCAAACCCACCCATAATCTCTCTCATTCTCTGTTTCATACATACACACATGCGCACGCGCACACACACACAGAGAAGAAAAGTTAACATCATAATATTACTATAGTCTTGAAGGAAGAAAAAAGATAAATCAAAGGAAAAAATTTTTTTTAATGCCTTTGGTTATATAATCAAAATGACCTACTACTACTCCTAGAATTTCTATGATAATAAGCATTTTACCCACTTGTTTTTCTTTTAATAGTCTCATAATTCGAAGTTATGCATATAAATACACCTTCTCAGTGAAACTAAAGGTCTATTGGGAGAAGCTCTCCTGCATTATTCTTTTCAGGTTATCATTTGCCAGAGCAAAAACAGTTGCTTTTCATTCCTTAACTTAATTGAAAGCTACCTTTATGATACATAAGTGACATTTTCTCTTAGCAAACCAGGTATATCTTCTTGTTTGTTTGTTTGTTAAGCCTCACTCGAGGATATTTTTTCATTGATTTTTCTGATAGAGTGGAAAGGAGGGAGGGAGAAAGAGTTAGAGAGAAACATCGATGTGAGAGAGACACATCGATTGGTTGCCTCTCGTAAGACCCCAAATGGGGCCAGAGATCAAACCTGCAACCAGGAATCAAACCCTCAACCCTTTGGTCCATGGGCTGATGCTCTAACTGCTGAGCCAAACAGTCCAGGGCAAACCAGGAATATCTTGCCTCCACTACTAAGTTGCAAATTTCGTAAAGGCAGGAAACATTTTTCAAATTTGTTGACTCTGTCATAGTGACTAGCACTATTGGAAAAGCATAATTAGTGTCCGAAACATAATAATTCTCTGTTGAATGAATGAAACAGTTTTGGGAATGATAGAAACATAGAGCACAAAATGTTTAAATAACATTTAATCTATGCTCTTTATTTAAAAAAAAAAAATGGGAATTGAATCACAGGAACAAAAAAAAATTTTGTCTAATTCCACATACCTTTTTATATCAGCTGTAGAAAAAATACAGGTCATATGCCCAAATGTTTCATTCACTGTCATTGAGTACATATTCTTAGCTAGGCCCCTGCTTCATGAAGCTGTACAAGAGTTATAAAAAGTGGTATGGATTGTCCCTATTGTTCTTGCTAATTTGATCATTTACATAGATGCCAAATAGATGCAATATTGTTATTTATTTATATCATCTAAATCTTTTCCTAATGGACCAATACTTTGATGATGTAACTCAAGGAAAATCTGCAAACAAATACCCCTGATATTTGGTATTAGGGAAGGTAAATTTTTTGTGCAAAACACTGTAAAAGATGTAAAGAAAGAAAGAACGAAAAAGATGGTTGTAAATAAAATCTTGTACTAATGGCATTTTTTTCTTCTGATTCTTCCTCAATTTTACCATCTTGAGATTTTAATCCATAGTTCTTGCCAGTTTTCTGTACTGGTGGTTTTCAACTAAGACTCTTTTTATCAAAATATCATTGACATTTTCAAAAAAGTAATACACAAGTAGCAAGCATCACCGGTCATGAATAGTCCAGTATTATTCACAAAGATGGCTTTGAGGGGTAATGTAGCTATATCACTGTAGGCTTTCAGGAATGACTACGGGCATAGCACCTGAATCCTTCTAGTGTTGGCATTTGAGCCATGTGACAAAGCCCCATCTATATTAAATATTCACAAGGATAGTCATTTACATGGATATTAAGTAGAAACAATTATGAATTGACTGCAGAGTTTCTACTAATGACTACTCTTAGTGAAAGTTCTGTTTGCACAGTGGCCCAACAGTAATTATAGGATGAAAGGCTCTGGCATTGTCTACCACAAAAATGCAACACTGAGGGAAGTGCTTTGAAAAATGAGGCCATTGAATGACATTCTGTTTTTCAGATCTTTCTATCAAAAGTATATTTTAGAGAGTCTTGGTAGTCATTTTACTTAGCATATTTATGCTATGTGTAAATCAAATACACACACACACACACACACACACACATATGTATATATATTAAATTTGACAGATTAAGTTTTAAAATTGCCAAGTTTCAGCTAAAAATACAAATGATAAATAAAAATGTTGATGTTTACATATCACATTAGTGAGTAATTAGATGCTTAAAACATGGTTGGACCTGTTCGGTGTAGCTCAGTGGATTGAGTGTTGTCCATGGCCTGAAAGATCCCAGTTCCAGTCTTTGTCAGAGCACAAACCCAGGTTGTGGGCTCCATTCCCAGTAGGAGGCATGCAGGAGGCAGCCAATTGATGTTTCTCTCTCACGTAGATGTTTCTATTTCTCTCTCTCTCTTCCTTTCTCTCTAAAAAATCAATAAAAACATTTAAAAAAATAGTTGGTAAAGGAACACTTTAGAGCTGTTTATAGGAGAAAGCTAAAGAGGTGACATGATTAAAGACACAGCAAAAAATATTGACAGCTCTTTTTTCAGTTTTGAATAGATTCTTTCTTAAATGTGTAAAAATAAAAGTGTAACTCTTCAAGGTCAGGAACTACAGTGATTTATTTATTTATTTATTTATTTATTTATTTATTTATTTATTTATTTAGGTATCCCTCTGAGACAATTAATCCAGTGTTGTAACACTATGGATGCCCAGTTAATCATATTGAGAATATGAGATCCATACATACATACAGAAATGTAGACATAATCTCACATAGTAGCATTTCATACACACTGAATTACTAAGGACAGTGTGGTGGGATTTGGTATCTCTTTAGATTTTTATACAATTGATGGTCTAGCTATTTTTCCAATGAGCCAATAGAAATGTTTCTATTCGATATCTTCCCAAAGGCTTCAAGAATTCCCACCTCCATAAGTCCATTGTCCAGATGTGTGGGTTTCAAATAGTCTGGCTATATCTCATGAATATAGAAAGAGACCACCTATTTTCAGTGGTGTGTACAGTATCAGTATTCCAATTAACGCATTATTTTTTAAGTAGCTACAACAAACATGAAATAATAAAACATTTTTTAAAAATATAAATTATTTAAGTACAGAGGAAACTATTACAGAGAAGATCTCTGTACCCATGACCTAGGTTTTCAAATATTAACATTTTTCTATGTTTAATCAGAACTTTATGAAACATAAATTGTAACCTCTCCCCTTTCTCAATTCTTCCCCTTCTCCTCAAGAGGTAAGTATTAGCTTAAACATAAAAACGTATCAGATTCTAAGTCAAAGTAAAATTCTACATATATCAAATAATCAATCTTTTACACACCACATTCTTTGCTTAGATTAGAAATCTAAGCATAAAAAGTATAAACCACATATGTATGTGAAAGCAATGTCTACTCTCATACGGACTGCAGAATTCTATATAAGTTAAATGGGTTTTAAAATCTCCTACAACTACGTTACTTTTTGATCCAGCACTTATTGACAATGACTAACATGCACTGAAACTTCCCAATATACATGATGTTGGACTTATATATTATTCTGTATAGTTCACCCCATTTGTCTTGAATATTACAGACTAGAATTTTTACATCTTTTAAATGATATTTTTATTACAGATTGACAGTTTTACATCTTAATAATGCTTTTTTTTTCAATAAAATCTATTTTGTCTGATATTAATACAGGTATATCTGCAGATTTGGTTACTTTTGCCTACTTTTTAAATGCTCATTCTCTGATTTGCTACTTTTCTGTATATTGTCTCTTTTAAACCAAACAAACAGAGATTAGTTTTGTTCTTTTATTGAATATGATGCTACCAATTTGCCTGCTTTTCTGGGAGAGGTATATCCATTTCCATTTATTTTGATTCTTGATATATTTATTTATTGTATTATGCTTCTTTACTTTTTGCTTTCTTTTCTACCTTATATTATATACCTAATTTTTTAAATGCAGTCTTCCCTTATTTCTCTCCTAGTTTTTAGGTTATATTTTTAAGACTATTTTTTACAGCAGTTTTAGGTTTATAACAAAGTAGAGAGTTATTTGTTTTATGTCTGGCATTTAATAGATAAATATACTTTTTTTTTTTATCCTCACCCGAGAACATTTTTCTATTTTTTGTACAGATAGAGTGGGAGGGAGAGAGAGAGAGAGAGAGAGAGAGAGAGAGAGAGAGAGAGAGAGAGAGAAACATCGACGTGAAAGGGACACATCGAGTGGCTGCCACCCGCACGACCAACCAGGGCCGGGGACAAACTGCAACCGAGGTACATGCCCTTAGCGGGAACCGAACCCCGGTCTCTCCGGACCACAGGCCAACGCTCTAACCGCTGAACCAAACTGGCCAGGGCGATAAATATACATTTTTAACATAATTATTTTTAAAGTATGAAGTTAAAAAAATCTCTACCCTCCTCCAAAATACTACAAGGCTTTGAAATATTTTAACACTGATTCATTTCATCCCATTTTATTTATAATTGCTATGTAGTATTGTAGTTCTATCTTTACTTTTATATTATATAAATTTTCTCTCTTACTCATAGTTCTTTTCCTCCTTGTTCCAGATGCAGATTTTTAAACTAATGTGTTAGATTAAGCTAAATCTTGGTTATGTTACACATTACACAATTACGTTACTCATTGGTTCCTGCCCTAGTTTCATGAGCATATTTGTTAAATAAAGCTTATTTTTCATATTAAGCTAAAGTTCTCTAATAAAAGCCATCATCAGAACAAAGTCCCAGACATAGTTTTGAGCACAACTAAGGAGGAATCATAAACTATTTTATAATCTCACTAGCAATATTATATCTCCACATATTATTATATTGACAAAATTAAGGAAATCTTGAAATATTCTGGTTGGCAATGAGTCAAATTTTCCTGTCAGTTTTTTTTTCTTATTTAATTCCTGATTGCTGTTGAAAATGTGTTCTTCTCCTGTTTACATAGTTCAACTCATCTTCTTCTTTGTGGTCAATGCATTTGACGTTAAAGCCTATGCTGGCCTCAGATTGGGAGACCCAAGGAAAGCACCTACCTGACCAGCAGTGTCCAAGATGTCCAAATAGGCTGGCTCATTGTCAATCCTAACCTGGGTCTTATAAGCATCTTCTGAAAAGACACAAAACAAAGTTTATATTTAAATACAGTCAGTGGAGTAACTTTTAGATAAATAAGAAAAAGTGTTTTAAATAAGTTGCTAATCTATTGATGAACACTTGAGCTGGTTCCAAATCTTGGCAATTGTACATAATGCTGCAATGAGCACAGAGGTGTATATGTTCTTTCAAATTAGTAATTCCGGTTTCTTCAGATAAACTGCCAGATGTGGAATTGCTGGGTTATAAGACAGTTTCATTTTTAATTTTTTGAGTAACTTCATACTGTTTTAAAAGCTGTGGTGCATTTACACAACAAAATATTACTCATCTGTAAAAAAAGAAGAAGAAGAAAATATTACCCTTTGTGACAGCATGGATGGACTTGGAGAGCATTATGCTAAGTGAAATAAGCCAGTCAGAGAAAGATAACTACCATATGATTTCACTCATGTGTGGAATCTAATGAACAAAATGAACTAACAAGCAAAATAGAGTCAGACTCTGCTGTTAGCTGACAGCTGTCACGGAATTGGAGGGTGGTGGAGAGATTGAGCAACAAAGAAAAAAAGAAAACTCATGGCCATAAACAACACTGTGGTGATTGTGAGGGTAGGTGGAATGAGGGTATAGGGAAGAAAATAGTGATGGATGGAGACTTCACTTGGGGTGGTAAACATACAGTACAGTGTACAGATGATGTGTTATAGAGTTATGCACTTGAAACCTGTATAATTATGTTAACCAGTATCACCCCAATAAATTAAATAAAAAATAGGTTACTAAATAGGAGAATCAGATACCCTAGTCAAATAGACTACACAGAATGACGATACGACCCAAAAAAATATAGAAAAGTAAGTTTCTGCTTAAAGTAAATTCCAGTGTATTTCTCGTTTATCAGGAAAGTCTCATGATTTGAGGTGCCTTGGTGATGTTACCTAGAGAAACCATTCATGGAATAAATATGTCAGTTCTTTCTAAATAATGCACACAAGTATGTATCCTGACATTCTACAAAAGACTAAAAACTTTTTCTAAAGATCAGGAACAAAACAAGTATACCTGCTTTAACCATTTTTATTTAACATAGTACTAGAAGTTCTAGCCAGAGCAATATGGCAAGAAAAAGAAATGAAAGGCATCCAAATGGAAAAATAATTTTCTGTTTGTAAATATCATGATCTTATATGTAGAAAGAGCATGATTTCTAAAGATTTCAGGGACTGGTGGGAGGAGTAATTGGGGAGTTTTGTTTAATGGGTATAGAGCTTCTGTTTGGGAATATGAAGAAGTTCTGGAAATGGAAAGTGGTTATGATTACAGAATATTGTGAATGTACTTAATGCTCTAATTTGTAAAAATAAAATGGTTTTTTAAAAAAAGATTTCACAAATAAAAAGAAAAACAATTAGAACTTCTAAACAAATTTAGCAAAGTTGCAGGCTACAAAGTCAACACACAAAAATCAGTTGTAGCCCTGGCTGGTTTGGCTCAGTGGTTAGAGCACTGGCCTGTGGACCAAAGAGTCATGGGTTTGATTCCCAGTCAAGGACATGTACCTGGATTACAGGTTTGATCCCTGGCTACAATTGGGGTCATGCAGGAGGCAACTAATCAAGGTCACTCTCTCTCTTTCTCTGTCTCTCTCTGTCTCTCTCTCTCTCTCTTCCTCCCTCCTTCCCTTCCTTCCACTCTATCTAAAAAAACAAATAGAGAAATATCCTGGAGTGAGGAAGAACAACAACAAAAGTCAGTTGTGCTTCTATACAATAATAATGAACAGTAAAAGGAAATAAGAGAATGATTCCATTTATAGTAACATCAAAGGGAATTAAATACTTGGGAATAAACTTAACCAAGGAGGTGAGAACTTGTGCACTAAAAACTACAAAATGTTGTAACGTGTTTGCTTCTGTTCTTTGCCACATTTGTGTATCATTTAAGTGAAGACAGTGATTATCTGGGTCTGAAGCCTTGGGTGTAAGTTGAGAATCTCATTTTATTACATCTATTGATTTCTTTAGTCATGCCAATCCCATCCTATATATTTCAGCCTGTTCAAATACCTACCGTGAGTACCCCATCATTTGTTGAACATTGTTGGAACTTCTGAGCCTTCACCTCACCAACTCATAGAGTCTGGCCACAATCTCTATTTTGTTTTATTTACCATTTATAGTATGTGTAAAGATCAAACTGAATCACCATAAAAAAAAAAACATTTAGAACAGCATTGAATTTTGGCACAATTCAATAATTATTTATACTGTTGATTTTGAAACGCAAATAAGTAAATGATTATTTTCATAACTTTTTTTTTAGAAAGTAGTGATGGTCAAGCACAGGAGGCAGTTTCTTAATGCATGTAACTCAGCACCTCCCAAAAAATTAGATTTCTGCTAGCTTCTGAAGATAACACACACACACACACACACACACACACACACACACACACCCCACCATGGCCTCTACTCTCAAGGAACTTATACAATCATGGTGGAAAATATATGTATATGCAGTGGTTGTTAAGATCCAAAAATGTGTAGGACATATAGCTTATCTTCAGGGAAATTTATCCCTTATGACTGTGCTCTAGAAAGCTAAAGTTGTGGGAAATAAAACTTTCAGGAAGGTCAATCTAGTGTGTTTTTAGTTATTCCTGGCCATTCTAAAACCATTAAGTGTACAGGCAACCATGCAGTTTTTCTATTTTTTATTCCTTTGCTCTTTGCTTTTTCACTGATCTTCCTCTCACAAAAGAGAAATCTTGTGGAATTATTTGCAATATTTTTTGAAGATGCATAGGGTTATTTTTCAATTTCACACAGAAATATGAATAGTTACTTTGAAAAAGGTGCTGTGACCTGAGGATCACATGTAAGTCTTTCAGATTTCATGTTTATTTATTTCAATTCAAAGGCTCCAAAAAGAGCCTGCTGAGGCCAGGAGCATGCTGAGTAATCCATATGAGAACTTCACTGTGTTATTATCTGAGCCCTAGATAAACCCTGCACATGAAACATGTATCAAATAAAAGCTTCTCCTGGGATTAGAAAACCCCTTCAAAGAGACTTGATGTGAATTGGCTGGAAATTAAGCCAGGCCCTATATCCAAGATTTCTTTTTCTCTTTTAAAAAGTATCCATCAGAGTACACATCCCAGTGTTGTGAATCTAGGTCACCTGCTTGGCCTCCACAGAAACTAATCCCTTTCATTTCCTCCCAATAAACAATCTTCTCTTCTGTTTCCATCCATCTACTTCCTTTGAGACCTCCCAAGCAGAAATGCAGTGATAGAAATACTCTTCTTGAATGCATATAAACACCTCCCTGAAATTCAATCATCTGCTTATAGACCCAACCCTGAAGTGAGCTCATTTATCTTCCCAAGCAAGAGGCCAATGTACACAAAGCTTTATCAGGCAGAAATGGTGGCAACTGCCGACTATATTGTTTGCACAGAAAAGCACAATGGAGCCGCTACTGTGGAGGCATCTACCACTGTAAAATTCATTTGAAAACACTAATGTTTGACTTGAGACTATTGCTTCTTTTAGGACGTGTCTTCTACACTCTCCTTCTGCAGCAGTATTTTACCAGAAGAACTAATCAAAGACCTTTATTAAAGCCTCAAACCCATCACTAAATATACATGTTATGATTGGTCAGCCACTTGATCTTATTTGGAAGATAGAGATAATAGCACATGCCATCAATACGTACGGGTTCTGTAAGGATCAACAAAAGTGGCAAGTATCATGGTGCTTAAAAATCTAAAACAAAACAAAACCCACAATTTAAACTCTAGGCATGTTATCTTGTGATTTAAAAAAATATATTGCTTTAAATTAACCATGAAATTATATTAAAACTAAATTACTTCTGCTATTTATATTTACCCATATGGGAATGCATTTTCCCAACAAGTAAATCACAGAGGATTTGGCAGGATGTATTTTCAATAATTATCAAAATGAGGTTTTTATTTTATTAAAAAACCTTAAGGTATTCTGGAGAATTTATCCAAAATAATTTAACTCCTTTGTAGAACAAACCTATGTATTTAAATAATTTTAAAATAATTTAATTGTAAATATAAAATTAGGATAATTTTAACTACAATATGTAACTGAGAGAAAATATTAGTTAACTGTTGAGTTTTTTACTAGATGACTTTTTAAAAATCTTAAGATAATTGAATACTTTTTATGTGGCTTACCAGAACATCTGAAATGTATGATAATTAGTATTACAGTGAATATATATGCAACTCTGAACTAGTATATATCTCCAAGATATTAGTCTTTCATTCCATTTTTTTAAAGGGCAATAAAAAATATAAAGGCTTGAATAATCTATTTATAAGAACTTTGTCGAAGAATTAAATGACTTATCTTCTATGTGTGTGTGTGTGTGTGTGTGTGTGTGTGTGTGTGTAAAGTAGAAGCATTTTGAAACAATTAACTGGACACTTTCACTTGAACAAGGAGTTAATTCATGGCTGAATCAGCACTGCTACAAATCTAATGTATCAGTATACTTATCAATAACAACATTTGGTATTTGAGTGTATAATCTGCGTTTCACACTCTGATAGGCACAGAATCTACAATGTTGAAGACAGAGTTGATTTCTACCTACAAAGTGTTTAAAGTCTTGGGGGAAATACATAAATCTAAACAGGCAATTTTAAAACATAGTATTTTAATGAGTACGACATTAGAAGCATTTAAAATGTCTTTATTTAGGAAGACAGAAAAAGACACCCAGAGGAGCCTAAATTGAGTTGAGGTCAGTTCTCAAAGGAAGCAGATAGAAAACAGTGCTTAGAAGGAAGATGACGGCAAGAGGCCAAGAAAAGAGGAAGGGAGCTCCATGTGTTCTAGTATAACCCCTCCTCCTGAACCTAAACATTCAGTGAGATCTAGTATGGGTATATATGCTTGTTGGGTTTGACAAAGGTTTTGAAAACTGGTTGAATTTAGGTTCTGAGATGACTGAAGGAAAAGA